TACCAAAGGATACAATTTTTAAAAAAATGAACACATATGAAAAGGACAAATCACATTTCAGAACAGAAGGGGGATGCAGGGGGGGGGGAAGGAAGGTGAATGCCAGTGAGTTAATGATATTAGAGGTGGGGAAGGGTAGATGTCTGTGAGTTAATAGTATTAGAGGTGATAATTGGGGAAGCTATCTTTGTAATGGGTAAGATAGTTGGAGTCTTTGTTACACTCTCCGCAGGGGACTTAACAAAGACTTCCACTATCTTACCCATTACAAAGATAGCTTCCCCAATTATCACCTCTAATACTATTAACTCACAGACATCTACCCTTCCCCACCTCTAATATCATTAACTCACTGGCATTCACCTTCCTCCCCGCCCCCCCGCATCCCTCTTCTGTTCTGAAATGTGATTTGTCCTTTTCATATGTGTTCATTTTTTTAAAATTGTATCCTTTGGTATATATGGCTGTGACTATTTTCTTCCACTATTTGATCTGAGGAAGTGGGTCTGGCCCACGAAAACTCATCATCTAATAAACCATCTTGTTAGTCTTTAAAGTGCTACATAGTCCTGTATTTTACATGTACTTGTGCCGCTCCTATTCCCCAGTGTTGATTTCCAAGGGAATTTCCCTGTAGCTGTACCAGCAGAAGTATATCAGGGGTCAACAGGAAAAAAAGAGTGAAGCTGGACCTGTTAGCAGAGTACACAGCAGAACGCAGTTAAGGAAAAGATGAATGTTCAGAAACTGCAGAACATATTGTGCCATTTTGACAGATTCATCTGCAATTTTATCTGCAGGAATAAATCTGAACAGATTATCAGCTGTTTCAAAGTGGACCTGTTCAACAGGGCAGAAGAGAAGGACATGCTACCCCACACAGATTCTGGACAAACAACGGAGCAGAGATTTCACAGTTCCAGATTAACTTAATTGCTGAAGAGACTTGAAGGCCCTTCTTGCTTAGTGGTAATTCATGTCTCATTTTGGAAACAGTTTCCTTGCATTCGCCACATTCTGCAGGGGTTGATCACCATGCAGGGGCATTGCATCCTCTCTGGGTTTGTACAGTGCCTAGTTCAAGAAGCCCTGATTTCGGCTCTACCATTACAAATGTAATAATAATAATAATAAAAAATAATCCTACATTATCTATGCAGGGAAAAACCCTGCTGAGTCTTGCCCCTGCAAGGATTGTAGGACTGGGGTTTGAAAATAATTGATATGGCAGTGTCTCAGTTGTTTCCCCTCAATCCTACTGGGGTTAGGGGGAGGATGAGGAAATAGAGCATAACCCAAATGTAAAAATAAATGTTTTTAATTGCTCTTGTACCAAAAACATATTATTTAGAAAGTCCTTGGCCCATTGTATAGCATTTTAAAATGGAAGAAAATGAAATCCTGCTGGGGCAAGCTTCAGGACTCTTCATCACACATTCATGACACAAATATTTCCTCACCTCATGCACTTCTTCCTTTCAGCACCCTGGCCAACACTCCTGTCCCTCTTCTCTACTGTTCTTGCCTCATTCTCACTGAGCAGATTCCATTTGTTCTCATCTCATTGCACTCATCTGAAAACCTGTAAGAATTTTTCAGCACATCATCAGAACATGTTTGGAGGGCTCCCTCCCATGGAAAGAGTTTGGCTGGCTTGGGCCTCAACTGTATGCAGTTGAAAATACAAAGTTTGTATATGGTAGGGAATGATGCTAGTTCTTTGGCCTTTCTCCATTGTAGAGACATACTGCACTTTGTACAGTCTGTACCTGTTACAGTTGTGCTGATATTTACATGCTAGGGATAATGCTACCCACTCATGGTGACACACTGAGGGAACGTAGTGGCTTGTTACAATAAAGGGCAACAATATCTGATCAAACATGGAACGACAGCTTGTGAGAAAGTGGAAACTGCCTGTTATTCCCATCTCTGCAGATTGATTACAGGAGATGGTCATGGAAAGACTGCATATATCCCAATAAATCTGGAGACAATATTGTGGCATCCCATTCTTTGCTGCGAAGGAAAGCTTTGATCTGCTATTAGAGATCCACCAGTACTACAGCACCCCATTGACTTGACTTGTCTTGCCCACTTTCCCATGCCCTTCCTCCACTGTGCACTGCTAAGGTGGCCTCTCGCTCCCTGAAGAGTGTGCACATGGCCCTTGGAATGCTCAGCTTTTCAAGCCCTGAGACCATTTGTATGCACAAATGAGCTGTCCTTGCCTGCACGCACAGGCCATGAGATGAGGCCCTTTTTCTAATCCTTGCTTTTTCCCTACTAGCACCACACAGAGAAATTCACTTATATATGGAGCATGATCTGCAATGGTTACTCTGTAGAGCAGGGTTACTCAACACATGGCCCGCAGTACAGTTTGGGTTTATGCAGGGCTTAACACATGGCCCGTGGGTGAGATACTTTGAACATGGCCTGCACTGGGAACACGCTCCACAACGGCAAGATATCTCCCAGGTGGGGTGAGCACTGAAAAATGCAAACAGACAGTACACGGTGTTGGCACTTCCAGCCCCGCAGGAGGAGATGCCGGGAGTGCCAGGGCATTGTGTGAAAGAAGCTATTTGCATATATATTTGCATGTATATGCAACCACATTTAAGTTTCAGCCCTCGGTATATGCTGTGAATATCATTGTGGCCCCCAGGGCTTCCAAAATTAAGTAGCCCTGCTGTGGAGTATGGGCGTATAGCAGCGATAGTGCTTGTTGCAGCTGTAATGATCGCAGAATGTTGCAGTATGCTTATAGTCCATGATTGTGTTAGATTGTTAGATGGAGTAAAAGAGGACTACTGCACCTAGATTTCTGTTCAGCTTTGTTTCCATGTTGCGTGTGCCTCAGCTATCTACAGGGGGAAAAGACCAGGTAAAAAGAAAATAATATGAGTATGAAGTTGCAGTCACATTGAGATTAGGGTTTACATGTGTGTTAATTGTTTTAGCATGACAATGTCAGTCAGTCTTGGGTTTCTTGGCTTTTTGTCAGTTTGTGGGGGGGCGGGATGTGGAACTTTCCCAACCCCTAGCATGTCTCTGTGGCTGCTGTGTTTGGTTGTTGGAAGGGGTAAGAGAATGCTTTCAACTAGGAGTAGCCTGGGTTGGAAGCATTGCCTGATACATTTTTATTTTTGCATTTAAAATGTTATAGTAGCAGACCTCCTCTAATCCAATGGGATCTAAGCTCAACAGTAAACAATTATAGGCAGATGGAGTGCCTTCTAGCCATGCAAGGAATCCTGAGCTCTACACAATATCTTCAAATGAGGGAGACAGCCTTCAAAGGGTATGTACAGGTGATTAGATGAAGGCCCATTGCATGAATATTAAGTACTATTTTTCTATTGTAGTCTCTCTCTTCCCTCCATTTAAAACCTAATATGCAGTATGTGAACAGTATATGGTATAGACCAGAGCCTATAGGGACCGAAAAGGAGGCAAATTTGGAAATGAGAGAGAAACCTATTGTTTGGTAAAATGTCTAGTGAGCACTGAATTTTTGCTGCTGGGCTAGGGAATAGGGAGAGCTGCCTGTACTACATTCTCTTACCAGATAAGTTTGTTTCATTTTCATTCCACAAAAAGGGCACCTAAGGAATGAATGCGGGTTGGGCCACACGGAACAGTTTTATTCAGGGCCTCTGATGCTGCTTCCCCTTCATATCAGAAAGGCCATTGCACTGCACTCCCTGGTAAGTGCAGCACCCTCTGTTGCAGAACGGGGCCCAAGATATTTAACAGAGGGCACAGAATATCTGACAGCAGGTGTGGTAAAAGAAGCTAAAGTGTATTTGTTCCCACGTGGGAAGGCAGAGCGCTCCCAGACACAAATGCACTTTAACAGAATTAACTTAAAAAGGTGTCAGACGAAATTGTGCTTTGAATGCATTATAGGAACGTACTCTTGTAGAGTGAGACTAGACAGTCAGGTGTTGGTAGCATGTAGGAAGAAAAAGCTGTTATTAATCAGTAGGAAGACACGCCGAGTGTGGTGTGGGAGTAGGGCAAATGGGAGTGAACATAGAGGCTCTTATCAGAGTTATTCACATTCTGAATCATCTTCACACAGACCTACTTTTTAGAGCCTGCAGCACAGCGGACCATCTAACCCAGCAAATCCCCCCACCCTCCGCTCTGACAGCCGAGCCCCGACGAGCACGGCTTTCACAGCGATGTTGAGTCAGCTCTATGCACAATAGTAATTCATGCTAATGCTTATATAACTGTTTCCACAAAACAGGCTGTGACTATAGCACTGGTGGGAAGCACAGCCATTAATTCAAGTGCTCTGTGGGATGGAGAAGTAGTAAAGATTGTTGTTAAGGTAGTTAGAAGAAGTGTTTTGTGGGGCTATTTTCCATATTCACCCACTTATGATGCCAACTGCATTGTTGCCATGAGTCTGGGTATATAAGGCTCATTGGGAACCATAAAAACCTTTACAATTAACCTATCTTGGGTTTCCTATAGTGAAAAATGACACCACCATTGCCTTGGGTTGGGGGCAAGCGGTATGTGTCCCAAGTGGAAAAATTCAGCAGTTCTTTCCAAATGGAATTACAAAGGTCTCATTTCTAGCCTGGACCCTGGGACAAACAGCTTTCATACGTTTACACACTTTCACACACACGAAACATTGCGGAGCCATGCGATAAATTATCCTGCACCTTTGATGACCTCATTGGCCACCTGCTCTTATTTGAACATTTCAACCCTTTCCTTGGGATCTCCAAATAAGTGCCAAGTTAAATAGCGAGCTGTCTCCTCTTTCCAACAACTGTGGAATTCCCTACCACATTTGTGATTAAATAAGTGGGCCCAGAGAGAGACCATGGTAATAACCTGAGTGTGCTGCAGTACATTATTAAGCAGATGAATGTGGTTCAGGGATTTGAATATCAAGACTTTGTTCCATTCAGGCATGGGCAGAACTTCTCATGCCAGCAAGGATGGCTGATGGTCATTGGGAAACAGGGTGTGTCAAACCCAACAAGGGAAAAGATGTTAATAATATCTTGTTGGGCCCGAGATACGCCTTATTAAAATGATACTATCCAACCCCACAAGACCCTTTTCTAGACACAACCATGTCATGCGTTAAAGTCTCTTGTCTCATGGTCTCTGTTATATGGCAGCTTCAAACCTGGTCCATTCAGTCACACAGCCTTTCAGAAAAATTTGCCAGTTATAGGGGCTTGGCAAAGGTGTAAAATAAGATGACCTCTTGTACCTTTGCAAACACTTCCACTTTGAGCTGGATGAACACTGTGTGATGGCAAATACCAGGAACGACAAACAGCGCCCAGGACTCAGTCCTCTGTTCTAAGCACTTGCAGACGCTCTACCTTTAGAGCAAAGAACTGAACCCAGGAACCTGAATTCTCAGCTCTCCACTGTGGTCTGCCAAAGAGAGTTTCACCCACTGGCACGTGCATTCTATAGTCCACCCTGGTGGTTGTTCCAATAGCTTATTAAGGCTCCCCATTTCTGCAACTCAGATGTTAGCTGAGTCCCTGCTGATATCACATAGGGGCAAGTTGTGTTCGATATAATTTTTTTCACTTAAAAAAAATCCATGCACCCTCCCCCCTTTTGCTAGACAATGTTCAAAGTGAAGCACTGAGGAGTTTACAAATGTCAGCATTAATGTTGCCCAGGAAGCCAGAGTTCTTCCTGAGACACCCAGGGCTACGTCTGCCCTGAAGTGCTCAGCAAGTCTTTCACTGCTACTGTAGCACCAATGTTAACTGGTGGTGAGGAGCATCGGTATAAACTACCTGCCAGCATCTTTTTACCACTAAGAACATAAGAATGGCCGTACTAGATCAGACCAAAGGTACATCTAGCCCAGTATCCTGTCTGCTGACAGTGGCCAGCACCAGGTGCCCCAGAGAGGGTGGACCAAAGACAATGATCAAGCAATTTGTCCCCTGCCATCCCTCTCCAGC